GGTGCTATAAAGAAAGAATAAAGAATAAGAAAGAAGTAAGGGATGGACAAACCTGACATGTACTTTTTACCAAAACTGATGCAATGAGACATGACTATACAAATGGCGATTATTCGCTAATTGCGTCATTGATGAGAACAGCGATGACAGTCTACGAAGGTGAGACAAATGAGAATGAGAAGCGGTGATGGTAGGGAAGATCATTAGAAAGGAAAAGGAGAATGAGGAATGAATGTTAAAAAATGCATCAGTTTTGGCACGCACCATAGTTCCCTAGCGCAATTCCCCTGAATAACGACACCTTTTTTGTACCCTTAGATTCCCCTAGAACACAACCTTGACTTTTGCATTGGTATCAAAGGAAGCCACGACCACACCCAGAGAACTACAATTACCATTCAATTTCACCCTCGCCATGGAACACTTGAATAACGCTCTTTCGTCCATCGATCTTCCTCTGAACATTAGCGAAGCCATAGCTACTGCTTTTAATCAGGCCCTCTCTACCAGTGCTCCTATTCGATTCGAATGGTTCGAATGGTTCGAATGACGCGAATTATTCGAATAGTTCGAGTGTCTAATGGTTCGAATGGTTCGAGTGTCGACTGGTTCGAATGGTTCGAGTGTCGACTGGTTCGAATGGTTCGAGTGTCGACTGGTTCGAATGGTTCGAATGGTTCGAGTGTCGAATGGTTCGAATGGTTCGAATAGGAGAGTGGTGGTTTGAATTGCGAAGTGGTATGAGCGATTTAGTTCATAGCCCTGGTTCAGAGTTGTATTGTAAAAAGTTTTAGTTGATTTGCTATGGTGCATTTCAGTACTAATGCAATAAATTGCACTTTTGGACATTCATTCCTCATTCTCCTTTTTCTTTCTAATGATCTTCCATGTCATCGCTGTTTCTCATTCGTATTTGTCTCACCTCCATGGACTGTCATCACCATCCTCATCAATGTCGCAATTAGCATTTAATCGCAATTTGCTTTCAATACCTTATTGCATCTGTTAAGTTAATTTTTAACTTCCTGTTCTCTTTATTTCGGTTACTTCTCTTCTGTCTTAATGATGTTTCCTCCTTTTGCCTTATATAACTCCCTCATCCTCTTTGGCATGTCACAATATAGCTGTTCCAAGAATTCAGGAGGGATTTGTGCCCATACGTCTTGAACCCGATCCCAAAGGGCCTCCATATTCTTTGGCTTGTCTGGATATTGATCCAACTTCATCTTCATATATGCCCATACTTTTTCTGTTAGGTTGATGTCAGGAGAGTTTGCTGGCCATTCCATGAGAGCTATCTTAGACTTTTTGATATAGTCCATTGCAATTTTTGCAGTATGGATCCTAGCATTGTCTTGCTGATATATGAATTTGTGCTTATCCATTGAATAGTAATCCCGGGATTTAAAAATATAATCCTTGAGGACATCGACGTAGGTTACCGAATCAACCTTTCCTGGGAGCCAACAGCCATCGCCTGGTCCGTAGTATGTGATACAACCCCAGAACATCATTTTGCCTCCACCGCCTTGCCTTGTCTTTTTGATATGATGTGCTCGTAGAGTTTTGTCTCCTCGATGTTTGTAATAGAACTTTCTTCCACAGGACCTAACCCTGCTGAATATGGTCTCATCTGAGAACATGACATTCTTCCAGTCGTCTATAGTCCAGTTCAAGTGATCCTTTGCAAAATTATATCGAGCAAGGATATGTTCCTTCTTCAGATCAGGCTGCTTCTGTTTAACATATGCCTTCATATCATCCTCCATGAGGTACCTCCAGATGCTCGTTTTAGAAACCTGCACTCCATCCCTCGATTGGACTAGTTGCTGGCCATTTTCGAGAGTCTCCAATACACCCATGTCGAAATATCTCGATAAGAGCCGTTTTGTTTCCTTGGTGACTTTGCAAGGTTGGCCCCCTTTCAACTTTGGAATATCTTCTTTACTTCTTTTCCTAATCCTTTGAACTGAGGTAACGGATATCCCAAAGCTCCTTGCCACTTCCCAGCATGACTTTCCCTGAAGAAGCTGAGCAGTTGCATTTTGGACAATTGATTTGGACAGTGACCTCATGTTTTAATAAAGATATGACAGATATGTAGAGTGTCGCCTGGTGTATCAGCGGTGATAGCGCTATAGAGAAAGAATAAAGAAAAAGTGAGAAGTAAGGGATGGACAAACCTGACATGTACTTTTTTCTGCAACTGATGCAATGAGACATGACTATACAAATTGCGATTAAATGCTAATTGCGTCATTGATGAGGATGGTGATGACAGTCCATGGAGGTGAGACAAATACGAATGAGAAACAGCGATGACATGGAAGATCATTAGAAAGAAAAAGGAGAATGAGGAATGAATGTCCAAAAGTGCAATTTATTGCATTAGTACTGAAATGCACCATACCTTTTTTCCAAGGTGTCTCAACAGAGAGATCAATCTATAGGCCTATAATAGTACAGTTATGGTGAAAAAAAAAAAAAAAAAAAAAAAAGAAAGAAACGCTAATGGATAGGATAATATGTATGTCAGGTCACTCAAATTGGTCATCAATGTTGTTAATAAAGCCACGATGTTTGGATAATTGTGATAATCAATTCGGTTATCACGTTTGGAATGAAGGACATTATTTTCGGAATTAATCTATTTGACAACCCCCCCCTTAATTATTTTCTCAATTTTTTTTCTTTGCGTGACAACCCGGGTTGCCGAATAGTAAAATATCTAATTTGACAACCCCAAGCTCACTATTATTTGACAACCCTTTTTTTATTGGCAAGATTATTATGTGAAAATCGTTTCTATTGCTATCCCTCAGCAACACGAAATCCCTCCAGCAATCTAAAAGCTTCCATCAAATAACAAACTTTTTTTTTTGGTTACGAGGTGTTGTTTTTTTATTACAACTGATTTCTAAAACAAGGGTTTGATTTTATAGAAAATGTGCCTATACGGGTAACATGCACTAAGGGGTTTTTTTTGGATATATAAGCATGCATAAATTCGGAGTGGTTATGCGACGCTTGATGGCGCATGCGTAAGACGCGGAAAGGAAAAAAAAGAGAGACAGAAGAAGCTATAACCACAGTCATGATAATGGAGTGTTGCCACCATTTTAGAAATCCAGCTGAGAAAGGCCCTCCATAAGTACAAGAGGGTGAAGACTTGTCATGTGACAGGTTGAAAAAGACAATTTTTCTTCTTTTTTTGACAACCCGGGTTGTCAAATAACAAAAAAGTGAAAATTGAAGACCTGGGTTGCCAAATAAGCCGGTGTGACTGCTAAATTAGGGGGGGTTGTCAAATAAGATTGACAACCCGGGTTGTCAAATAGATTCACCCGGATAAAACAATTAAAAACGCTGTAAAATATAATATCCTATATATTAAAACGAAAGGGTGTCTGCACGTGCCGAAATGTGACTGCCATGAAGGCAAAGTGACTGCTACAGAGAGTGGCTTTGGCCCCAATATGGCTCCCTGGGTGGAAATAAAGAGGTATCTTATTTTTAAATGAAAAGAGAAAATAAAGGGTAGTGCTCTCTTCATTGCAAATGTCGACACCAAAAAATTTTTGCTCAAAAAAATTTGACCTCTACTCTGAGTACGGTATACCATACACACTATTAAAGGTCATGTCAACAATATACGATGCGAGAGTATATACATATTATGGGCCTGAACTCTTAGCGTACTTTACCACTCTACACCTTCTTCTATCACATTCCTTGCTTTCACACACTTTACCTTCACATATCTTTCACTCTTCATTTGAAAAGAAAAAAAAAAAGATATGTTCCATACGTTCATCTGTCAGACCTTCGCCACCTGCCAAATGGGTCATCAAAGCATGGCAAGTCCGGTGAGACGGAGGTTTGAAGAGAGCTTACAAGGAGGAGAACAGGTGAAGGAATATGACTGGGCTTATAGGCCAATCGGCTCTGCCCTGCTTGCATTGCTTGAATAGGAGATGGAAAAAGGGGAAGAAAGGAAAAATGAGGTAGAAAGGTTTAAGACTGCAGCTGAACTTCGATGTAGTGCTTGCTTGACGTAGGTTGCTCTTGCAGCAAGGATGTGTTTGTCCTATTCTAAGGATAGCCAAGCTCAAGTCCTTGGTCTAACGGCACTCACTCCACCGAGTTGATCTCCAGCAGCCGTCCCGCATACCTCCACATGAACAACTGTTCGCTCTCTTTCAATCCCACAATCTCCCTCACAAAAAGAGGACAAGGGACCTACGTACCATACTGATGCATTGTCTATAATAGAGGTAGCTAAATAGCCAAGTAATGATCATAAAAGAGTGCCTCCTACACTACAAAAGTAATGCTAGAAAGCCTATCTAAAACTATGGGAATGATAATTTACATTACGTAGTTCTTCTGCGAGGAACAATCTAGTGTAACAATTAAATTCTAGCATTTTCGCTTGCATACCCGCCAATGCTAAAATGCTTATCTTTATTTTTGATATTGCATTAGGTGAGGAGAATATCGGTTTATTTCCGAAGGGACTACATATAATTCACGTTTATCCACTGTTCTCTACTTTTGCCACTATTACATTTATTTTTATCTATATATTAAAGCAGGTAGAAAAATTAGGTGACTGCGAAATTATGTGACAACTTTTGGAGCATCATAAATGAACAAAACATAAATAAGCAACAGCTTGGAGCATTCACTCATCCATGGGTAAGCAAGAATCTGTGGGTGGCAAGAGTGTGACATATCAGTCACATGTAAGTAGTAATTTCATTTATTAATTATTAGTTGTCAATTAGAGATTGTCCTTCACCCTATTTATATCAGTAGGAGGTGATCAATAAAGGGATGAACGTTTCTCATTCATTTTTCAATCCATATTATTCATATTGATCACCCATACTCCTCATTTTTTTGAATGAATTAACCTCTCATCCTATATCAAAAAAAAAAAAAAAAAAAAAAAAAAAAAAAACACACACACACATATACAAATCAACAATCGCAAAGCTTTATTTCTTTCCTTTGCGGTTGCTATTTCTACTGGGAGTAGGACGCAGATTATATTTCTTTGAACGCCCTACTTGCTTTTTCAAATCCTCCACTTGCTTGGTCAGATCTGCAATTATCTCCCCTTGCTCGCGCACCATCTTGTAAAGATTTATGATGTCTATTACCATCATGTCCACATCCTCCAAAACTTTACGGCGCTGATGATGTTGCGCACACTCTGACTCCCCATCATCATCATCACTTCGCTTTCGTACACCGAGCGAAGTCCCAACGGATAACTTGGGTGGAACAGATCCACCAATTTCCAAAGAAGGAGAACGATCACGATAACGTGGATCTCCTCTCTCTCTCCAAAGTGCATGACGATCAGCTTGAACGAAGGCCGGATCTCTATCATCATGCTCAAAACTATTTTCTCCACCACTGGTGAAAGAGTAGTGAAGTTCCACGGGAGAACTGGCAGGGGAACTATGGGAAACATTGTTGGAAGACATTCTGAAGTGTTTTTGATGGCAATATGAAGTGTGCTGAAGTTTTGTTGAAAGTGTGAGAATGGTGAAATAACGAATGGAGGAATGAAAACGAAAAAAAGCAATCAATTTATATTCTCAATCATCCATCCATTCACATTCTTTTCTTCATTCTCATTCGCCATTGAGACTCATTTCAAATGGCGTGATTTTCAGACTAAATGAACCAATGAATGATTGAGATTTTGACATGCATCAAAAAAAAAAAAAAAAAAATTCCGTGCTATCTCCATTCATTGAATCACCTGCAAAAAAAAAAAAAAAAAAAAAAAAGCATATTTATTCTCAAAAAAAAAAAAAAAAAAAAGCTTATCTTGACACTTGAATTTCACTTTTCTTTGGCAAGAAAACTACTTCAAAAAAAAAAAAAAAAAAAAAAAAAACAACACTCCTTTACGATGACTTCCAATCAAGATGAAACTTTCTACACTCTGACTGAGATTACAGCCCCAACTCAACATCCACCTGTTGCCGTTCTCAGCTTGGGACCTAGAGCCCCACAAAATGAATTAAAACAAGCTTACACAAACATCTCAACAATTTTAAATGAAAATACGACCAATTTGAGACAACAACGTTGCATTCTACTTTATCTTGAAGACTTGAATCCACAACAGATTCTTCTCTCTAATGGAAACCCTGCTACAAACAAAGACAAAAACAACCATATCACACATTTACGCCAATCTATAAAAGAACACAACGCTATCATTGAGCGACAAACAAAAATTCTTCAAGAGCTTGATGAATGCATCATAAAACCCAATACTATCTCTTCCTCCACCAAATTCTCACATCATATTACCTCTTTCTTTGAAGACGAACCAATACCTGCAAAAACTATACCCTCCAATTGTGTCCGTTTTGGCAAAGGCACCGGCTGTCTGAGCAATGCTCAAGAATTTCTTCGCGTCTTTTTTTCCGATATTTTAACGTCTGTCCCCACTCTATCTCCTGACGATGGACCAACATACGGAAAATATTTGGGTCAAGCCATCCAAGACATGAATTTACGATGTCTTTATGTTACAGAACTCGTTCATCTTATTAGAGAACGTGAAACCGAAGCCAAACACGACCTTACAAATGCACCCAAATATCCCATCACCCAATCAGATGCCGAAAAAGTATTCCTGAAACACACAGACAAAGCATCTGACGTGATTGACACATCAAAAAAGCTTCTCAACATTTTACCTCTTACAGATGAACAATGGGCTGATTTTGCACAACGCGTTCAACAAGCTAAAATAAATTCTGGTCTTGCTGAGCCTTCACCTGCGATTACGCATTATCTTACAAGCATTTTGCCACCAATTGCAATCACCCTCTTTCGCATCTGGACCCGTATAAACCACATTTACCACTCGCATAATCTTTCTGAACCAAGTCATGCCGACTGTACTTTCAGTGATTGGCACGATTTCGTCAAAATCCTTGATGGAAAACCTATCGACTATGGCCGACTTCCTTTTACTTTCAAGTCTCCATCTAATCCATCTAATTCAAAACCTCACAACTTTCAAAACCCTTATTATGCAAAACAATCCAGATGGCAACCATACAACAAACGATTCAGACCTGATCAACAACCTGCTCAATCTGACCCTCATAAACAAAACATACAAAAAACAAATCATACAAATGATAAACAAACCAAAAACAATATCAAACCAAGTTGTAACAAATGTCATTACAACAATCACACGACTGAACATTGCACTGCACCATTCTGCGTACCTTGTCAGTCATATCATTTTCCAAACAAATGTCCTAAAAAGAACAATGCTTCATCTTCATATAAAGGAAAAGAGAAGCAAATTCCATTAAATAATGCGACTGTTATTAATCAGAGCACCTATATTCCTCCTGATACTTTTATTGATATGCAAAATTCATCTCATATAGCAGACATGATTGAAGATGACGATGATGATATTCGAAATAAAACAGATTATTCTTATTCTCCTTATATGCATATCGCAAGCATACAAACAAATAATACTACACCAGAACATGATAATCGTATCATACTTCCGGTTTATTATCAGGAACAAGAATATATGGCACTGCTCGACACAGGTTGCACACATACATTTATTAATACAAATGTTATTAAAGAACATAATATACCAACAAGCTCTACTCCTGGTACAATCCAATTGGGCAAAGCTGGTATAACAACATCTCGTACTACAACTGCTGTACCTATTACAATTACATGTGCAGCACACACTTTATCTACATATATGGAAGTACTGGATCTACCTCATTATGGTTTTCAAATTGGCATTAACACTTTTTATTCATTTGGTTTTGGCATTACTGGTCTACCCAATCCTACTTCACAATTCGAAAACAATATTACTGTCATACCTGACAATAAACCTACTTTAACACCATTAGACTCAATTCCAGATAATGAACGAACACCAAAATTTCAATCAATCAAAACTAAAACTCTACAACTTATCCAACCTGCTTTAAATGCAAACTCAAACATTCCAACAAACAGTTTCTGTCCTGTTCCTGAAATGAAAGTTTACTTGTCAGTACCCCCAAACACAATTATTTTTAGAAGACAACGACCTTTTGCTCAAACAGATCAACAATTAGTTGATGAAACTGTTTCACGATGGTTACAACAAGAAATTATTACTCTTGCTCCACCAGGTACCCCACACAACAGTCCACTTACCCTTGCTGCCAAAAAAGATCTTGAGGGCAAACGCACTAAAAAACGTGTTTGTTTAGATCCACGTCTTCTTAACCAATATCTGCCAGATGACAATTCTCCTTTACCACTGGCAAATGAAGTCTTCAATAATGTTGCAGGTCATGCTGTGTATTCCACTCTTGATCTCCGAGAAGCATACCATCGATCCCCTATTAATGAAAAAGATCAACCTCTAACTACTTTTACACACCGAGGAAAACAATATATGTTCCAACGTGCACCATTTGGACTTAAACATTTGTCCAGTTTATTTCAAAGAGGCATGTCTCGTATCTTAGGCGATTTACCTTATGTCTCAATCTTTGTAGACGACGTAATCGTTTATTCAAAGACTTTACGTGAACATGCACTACACCTGACAGTTGTCATCAATAGACTCACAGATGCACGTATGATTTTAAATCCCGATAAATGTCATTTTTTCACTACACGTGTTATTCTTCTGGGGCATATCATTGATTTACATGGCAAACAAATTGATCCCATAAAATTGACAAACATCCATGAATGGGATTATCCACACACCGGCAAACAAATGCAACATTATCTTGGCTTCTTTAACTTTTTTCGCGAGTACATCCCATGCTTTAGTACACTTGCTGCTCCATTGGATGAACTTCGCACTCAGACAAAACCATATCAACTATCATCTCTACAAAAAAAATGCTTTGATTCATTTCGTGAACTATTATCACAAGCACCTATATTAATCTTTCCAGATTTTACAAAACAATTTTATGTTGCTACTGATGCATCAAACATTGGTATCGGTGCAGCATTATATCAATTACCAGAAGGACCTGATAATTCAAACAAGGTCTCTTATATATCGTTCATGGCTAGATCATTACAGCCCAGTGAACGCAATTATTCGGCCACAAAAAAAGAAATGTTAGCAATTGCTTTCGCTCTCACTAAATTTTACTACTATCTTAAAGGCCGCAAATTTACATTATATACAGATCATCGCGCTCTTACATACCTATTCACACAAAAAAAGCCATCCATTGTAATGTCTGGTTGGCAAGATACAATACTAGAATTCAATTTTGACATTATTTATCGACCTGGTATCTTAAACATTTTACCAGATCACCTCTCACGACTTTTTCCAAAAGAATTATGGTCTGAGAATTATCATACATCTACTTATAATAATGAACATACAAACACATATAACACAAAATCTGCACAATCAAACACTTTTAAAGCACAACATATTACATCTACCTATATGCATATCATACAGGATGATGATTTACGTGCAACATACACCGAAGTACCTGAGGCAAAACGTCAATCCGTACTATCGGAAGCTCATGGCCCTGGTCATATTGGCGGTCAAAGAATGGTTCGTTCCATTCATTCCTCTAATCTTACCTGGCCTCATCTTATTAATGATTGTCTCAACTTCGTCAAAAAATGCAGAGCTTGTCAAAAATACAATATTGTTCGTAAAGGCTATCACCCCATGCAAGCCATTCATGCAGAACTCCCTGGCGATCATATTGCAATCGATTTACTAGGTGAATTGCACCCATCAACACATACTGATACCCAAGGAACAACACATACATACAGATACGTTCTTGTAGTAGTAGATATCTGTACCAGATTCGTCTACCTTCGTCCTTTAATTGACAAGAATTCCATCACTGTTGCTCAAGAACTGTTCAACATATTCTGTGACATTGGTTTTCCTAAGATCCTACAATCAGACAACGGCACTGAATTTGTCAATAATGTCCTTGATTCTCTTACAAAGCAAATGCACATACAACATCGGCTTATCACACCGTATCACCCTCGTGCGAATGGCGCAGCTGAACGACAAGTGAAAATAGCCACAGACATCATTCGCAAACGCTTTGAAGACGATCCAACAAAATGGGCAAAACAAGTACCTGTAGCACAACTCATGATGAACACTCAAATAGTTGATTTACATCAATCGACACCATATTCTTTGTTCTTTGCGAGACGCTACAACGGCATAGGCAATTTTCAGGACACCGAAAGTCATCTCATCAACCATGACCAATTACTTGAACGTCTTGAATACATGACAAAGGTTGTCTTTCCAGCAGCTAGTGAACGATCTAAAGCTACACAACAAAAAATGGTCGAACGATTCAATGCTACTATCCTACAAAATATCTTTCCGGATGGAGCAGTCGTCATGGCACTTGATCCAACACGAACAAATAAGTTGAATCCGAAATATGAAGGCCCTTATACTGTCGTGCGCCAAGATCGAAATGGCACATACACACTACGTGATAATACAGGGACGATCCTTCCACGGAAATACACTACTTCTCAACTCAAACTGGTCCTGGCCGAACCAATCGATCCAAACACATATATTGTCAAAACTATCATCAAACATAGGCCACCAAACCCAAAATATAATCGAAAAGAGCACGAGTATCTTGTTCATTGGAAAGGCTATGACAATCCAAAGGATTACACCTGGGAACCGTATAGTCATTTCTATGAAACACAATGTATCCGCGATTATTGGATGCAACAAGGCAAAAATTGTCCTCATACATATGCTCGCACTACAAACAACTATTCTCTGTCTACTCAACAAGGCGTCTCAGAGAGTACAGAAGAATCATATTCATTATTACAGCCCAACAATACAAACACTACAAATATCATAAACAAACATCGGGCATCAAAGGTTGCAACTGAAACTGCAGTACCAGTGCACCATCATAAACGTCAGCCAGATCACAGAGTCTATCGGCCCTCGAAGCGAGCACGTCTGTCGAAATAGTCTGACGATCATCAGCGGCATACAAATACAATGGAGGTTTTTCTCGCCGCTTTCCTCCAAGGTGGTTTTTACTTGTTCAACGCCAAACGAGCTTTTTTTCCACCAACATCATGCCAATGAGAGCGGGCACGATGACACAGACATATTGAGGTTTATTTTTTTTTTCTCCTCCACCATTAACATCAAATAACATGAGGTTTTAGCATTTTCCTCACACAAACTTATATTGGTACAAACATACATTTGTACACATATACTTATTATCATATACATATTTCCCTATTATTATCATTTCCTTCACTGGAGAGGGGGTGATGTGACATACACTATCATGCAAAACTGATTCAATAATTCATTCCCATGTGCATTTCTTTTTTTCATTCCTCGAAACCGTATATGCATACAACACTCATACTTTGGTTTAATAAAGCTCCCGTCTTCTTCTACGTCATAGTGATGCGTTGTGACATTAGCTTGTCTCATTTGAATAGCTAATGACTTTTTTGTTCATTCAGGTCATTGAATCAGTTTCACATGTGCCCATTCGGTGGCCAAAGATCTTTATTCTTTTGTGAGCCATAACCTTACATCAATAAGTAGTATTCCAACCATGGGCATCACTGACAGCTTGGAGTCTCTTATGGATACCTATGATGAGTTTGCGGCAGAAGTCCACTGGGATCCTGTACCATTCAACCGATATTCGCTCCCATAGTTTATCACAGCTCTTAGCTCGCTCGGGATACCTAGAGAGCCGCCTATCCAATTCTGCCCACATGTGTTCAATAGGGTTGAGGTCAGGGGATTGTGCTGGCCACTCTAGAAGTGTACCTTCCTCTTCTGTCAGATGTACTGACTCCAAATACTTCCTAACAATCTTCGCCGTGTGCTTCGAGTCATTGTCGTGCTGAAAGACGATATCGCTTTTAGTTAGGCCCTAGTCATCAAGCGACATCTGTAGATCCTCCTGGAGTAGTTTGATGTAAAGTTGTGCGTCCATATTATTGTCAATCTTTGCAATGTATCCAGGTCAGTACCATGAGAAGCATGACCACACTTTAACATTACCACCCCCAAACTTGACAGTGCCTTGCACCGACCTGCGAGTGAGGCGTCCCGGATTGTCGTCCCAGATCCACTGCACGCCATCAGAGCAGATTCGGTTTATTTTCGATTCATCTGACCAAATAACCTTT